GGAACGCTGGGGTCAGTGGCTAGTGCTGGGGATAATAGGGGGTGGGGAATGCTAGGGGTTAGGGCTGGCACTGTGGACTCTGGGAACTGGGCTTTTGGTGGACTCCTAACATTTTATTTGCATATTCATCCTTTGCATAATGAATATGCAGATATGCAAATAAATGTTACTGGTCTGCCAAAAGTTTGTGAATGGGTTTGCTGGCCCCTGGTATAAAAAAGGTTGGGAACCACTGCACTAACAGACTGATGCTAGGGGTTAGGGCTGGCACTGTGGACTCTGGGAACTGGGCTTTTGGTGGACTCCTAACATTTTATTTGCATATTCATCCTTTGCATAATGAATATGCAGATATGCAAATAAATGTTACTGGTCTGCCAAAAGTTTGTGAATGGGTTTGCTGGCCCCTGGTATAAAAAAGGTTGGGAACCACTGCACTAACAGACTGATGTCTGAGTGTCTGTTGTGAATTATAATATGACAAAGATATAGCCATTTTGTGCTCACTTTAAATAACTTTTAACTTTATCACTCAGATTCAGAAAATGCATAAACTTGTCAATGCTGGGATTGCTGATGTTACCATCCGCCAAGACAAGAAGATCCTGGCAACAGCAGGGTGGGATCATCGTATCAGGATCTTTGGCTGGAAGAAACTGAAGCCCTTGGCAATGCTGGACTACCACACAGCAACTGTCCACTGTGTGTCCTTCTCAGATCACAGTAGGCCAAGTGAAAGGCTGCTGGCAGCTGGCTCCAAAGACCATCGCATTAGTATCTGGTCAATCTATAATCAAACATGAGGAACTCTGGACTGGAGAACAGAAAGCAAGACTGATAAACCAGGAATTTGTTTATTTATAAACCAGGAATTGTTTTATATTAAAATCTGGGGATGAGGAAGTATTAGTCCATCTGCAGTTTGAGTTGCAAGTTCCCCAGAAGGACCTCTTCTCCATAGAAAATGTTTTCCAGTGTAAGGGAAAAGCTAAGGCTAAGAAGGAAAGAATGAATGATCGCGTAGTTAAGGCAAAGGCCTACCCAAGTTGGATTCTGCTACATGCTCTGCTGCATGCTTCTTTTGGCAAATTGTTGTAATTGTTTGCACCAGTTTCATCTATAAAATGGAGATGGGTGCTGTCACTCAGGCATATGTGGTTTAGAGAACACTGATTTCTAAATCATATTGAGATCCTAAATGTGCTTAAGTGAAAAGAATCAGTTTTATGTACACTTGAACTCCATTAAACTATCCACAAGTTTCTCATGTCAGTTACTTTTTCTTCCCCATAACTGAAAAGCCAATCTTGATTTGTTCACACTTCTGTCAGTTTCTAGCTTAAGCCAACAGCCAAGAATGTGACTAGGGATGGCCTTTGGCATTTATGAATTTCATTATGTCCCCTGTCACCTCAAGCCTTGCAATTAATCATAGAAAGAAAAAGGAATCTTTCCATGCACAGCATTGTAAAGCTATGTAAAGCCTTTTTCAGACCAGTGTTAAATCCTTTCCATAGACTGACTAGCAGAAGGATTTAAACTGAGCAATCCAATTAGCGCCCTTCTCCTTGGAGATTTGGGGGGGAGGTAAATTTTCAGCATGGTGAGCCAAGGATTTGGCTACACATCTCCCATTAACATTAATGGGAATAGCATAGATAAATCCTTCTGCACTACCCTGAAAATGTACCCTTTAGTTTGTCATCTCCATGGTCATGGAAGCTGAAATCCATGTTAAAAGTAGATTGTTTTTATTTCAATCAAGGCACAGTTGCTAGTATTCTCCTTTTCAAATATATTTGAGCAGTCACAGTCTGTTCATAGCCCAGGAGATCTCACCACTGAATTTAGTTTTGCCAGTAAGATGCACTTATATATACAGCATAAAAGTAATTAACAGTGTGACTTTAAAAAGTAATTTAGAAAATATAGGTGAATATGTATTCTGCAAAGGGGGACTTTCAAATGTCCAGTACTGTTCTGCGGATGCTTTATTGGAAATGCTTGTCCCTGCCCATTTATGGGGCTGGACATCAAAGGGAAACTAGTCAGAAATGAATTGGACAAGCACTGAAAGACTTCAGAACTACATTGCAAAGCCAAACTTGTGAAATGCAGATGCACATGCTAAACATAAAACTGGGCCTGCAATGCACCTGTACCGTACATACAAGAATGATCTTGTTGAGCAAGTGCTTTCTAATGCTGTAAAAGAGATTTTTGTTAAGTGCCAAGCCCCAGTATTCTTTCCATTACAAAACATAAAACCTATTGCAACAAGGCTTCTGCTAATAACTTAATGCAGTTTCATACACTGAAATGTGTTGCTGCGTTTCTTTGGTTATTTCTCCCTATATATGCCCTCTATAATAGCCTGATATTTACTAATGAAGCTCTTTGCAAATATTTGTATACATTCTCTCGTGATCACATTATCACTCTTTGTTGAGGTAGATGTTTACAGTATGTTTGTGTGTCTAGGAAATGAAAAAAAAAATCCTGCACAAGAACAAATTAAAAATAAGTAGATGAACACACATCTTCAGTCCTACCAACATATACACATATCGGGGCATGGAGAGAGGACTGTATGTGTAGATTGGTTTGCAGGAACAGGACTTGTATTTTGAATCTTTTGCTCCTTCCAACTGTACATAGTTGCAAGTATTTCATTGGTGAAAGTGTTAATCAGCACTATACATTTTCAATCATATTTTACTTTTCTCATCCTATTAAATTGTGGGAGGTTAAATGCATTTGCAGTTTCAATCTAAGTTACTACTTCTAGAGATTTGCTTAGATACATTATCTGACTTAGAGGTGGGCTTAAACTGCACAGTTTTGATCTGGATCACAACTTTCCTGAAATGTATGAATTTTTTTACATGAATTTCAGTCTCAGACCTGAACTGTCCCAAAGGAAAGAAGTGTTCCAATCACAAGTATTGGTATGGGTGCATCTCTATCGATATGCGACCTATAAAATGTAGCTACCTGACAATATCTAAGGAACGATAGGGTAAAATATTCCCAGAAGAATTAAAATAGCTTTTTCAACTGTCATATGCTCATATTTATCCCACTGAAGATTTCAGCTGACTCACTTGCTATCATGAAGGTTTTGAATAAAAAACCACCACAAAGTGATGGAGTTAGCATCTGACTCTCACCTGTCAGAGAGAAACATGACTAGCCTGTACTTGGCCTAAAGGAGTGAAGAGTGAAGGTGTTGACAGCTAAATTATTGCAAAAAGGCTTTCTCCCAAGAAGTGGGAGATATCTGTCATTCTGAGGGAGTCAGCGGGAAGCAACCAACATTCATAAGCTAATTGAAATAAATCCCAAACACTAGCATTTGTACAGCAATTACATGGAATATTTATCACCAGTGGAATTAATGCTGAACTCTGACCCTGAGATGTTCCTTGTAAATGAATCTGTTAGTTCCAAGCTCTTCCTCTGATCTGAATGATGTGCAGGGTTTTCTACTTCTAGGTGGAGATGAGCCAGAGAAGAGGAAGACCAATAGCCATATTTATAGCAAAGAGCTCAAAAGAAGAAAGTGTAAAGGCCTGTGAAAAAAGCAAAATGAAAAAGCTTCCCTCCTGCACTCTGAAACTGGAATTAGTGATCAAATCAGCTCTGGCATGAACTACACACTGTGGAGCTCTACTAGGAGAATTGCAACTTTTTTAAAAAAGAATAGATTTAAAGTCAATAGTGTTATGATTTCTAGTATGTTTAAAATGCTTCTTACAATATTTTGTGCAATGCTAGCAGACAAAACTAGAGATTTGAAAACCTTTTCTTTTGTTCAGTGCAGGGCTGGTCTTAATCAATTGGTAGGCCGGACCACTGGCTCGCCCATAGGGTTGCCAGATGGTTTAAAAAAATACAGGCTGTCGGCGGCCCCTTGAAAAAGGCAGCCCTGAGAGACCACCAGTAGAAATAAAGAGATGAAGAGACTAACACAGCAAAAAGCTAATTACCTAAGGGAACTGCAAGAATTACTGAGCCAAAGACCATTGCATATCTTTATCTACCATTGTCACTGTGATATGAAAATGTGGCTGTTTACTGCCTGGATTAATAGGATATGATATTTAAAGACAACAGTATGAGTTTCAGACAAGCACTGATATGTGCAAAGCTTTTAAGCATGACTTTACAGTGTGCTATCCCATGAATTATAGAGATGAGCTGGTACAAAATGTAGGGACCTTCTGTTATCCATGCAGTGTTTTGAAATTCTTGTCAGCATCCCAGTCCTGGAGGCACTATTCTAGCTGAGCATGTATATTTCCTTTGCTACATGGCAGCATCAGTTTGGCCATTGAGAGCAATTACATAGTTGTATATAGCCACACAGAAGGACTTACTTCCACATGCAGCTCCCTTCCTCTGTTATTTACTACTGTTAGGCCAAACTCAGTGCTTGTGTACCTTCACTAAAACCACTGCAGTTACGCTAGTGACAATGTTGTCCTGTCATCTAGAACAGGATAACTCCAGCGCTCTTTTGTAGCATTATAGGTACTAAAAACATTATAGAAACATCAGTACAGACATTGTGTAGCTAAAACCCTTGAAGAAGCAGTTGAATGTTAAAAGTCAACATTTAGGCACCATTGACATGCAGAAAACCATTGCTTAGCTACATCAAATGAGTGGACACCCGTTTCTGCCAGAGGGCATATTCACAGCTGCCTAAATCCAAACACTGCTGAACAGCTGGGCACCAAGCTCATACCTAAGGCTCAGTGAGATTCTTGGACCAGATGGTTCCTCACCTGTCTCATCTGTGGGACCCAGTTTAGGTAGTGTGTTCAAAACCACTGCACCCACATAGAAGACTGTGGGGGAGGGGAGGTATTAAATATTCACCAGAGCAAGGATATGACTCCCCCAGATTGCTTTTGCCACCTGGCTCTAAAATCATTTTTGATATCACTTTCTGGGCTGATAGATGTTTACACATTTCATATAAAGTGGAACACATTCAACAGGAGAGAATGAGAACAACCCATCCCAGAACAGCTCAAGCAGCCTGTCTTTTAGGGTTATCAGCTGCATCACCACTATGGTGCTTGTTTTCATTTGGTCCATAAAAATGTTATCGGATACCAGGATTATTTGGGTTGAGGCAGCTGTTTCCTCCTTTTGTTGGTGTGTGTGCTTCTTAGATTCAGCTGCATTTACTCAACCTCGTGAAAGGAAAATCTTAAAATGAGCAGTTTCTACCAGAGCAATGACCCCTCTATATTTAATGCACATGCCTGAGGAGGTTCATTCTAACTTTTAGCTCTTAGTGGTTTATTCCCTCTCAATCCCATCCATCATGCAGCCTTTGGCACTTTAATGTATTATTAAACCACATAGCTGGGATTGTAGCAACATAATCCCTGAATTGTGAATGTTTTGCCCATGTGATTAATGGTGTGAAATATATCTGTACATGTTTTACCAGCATTATGATGTGTGTTGCTTTATTCAGACTTTGCCCCTAAGGAATCTGATGCATAGTTCAGCACTATGGCTAAAAATGTGTCCCTTAGGTGATATAAAGATCCTGGGAAACCTTAAATATTCCCAAAGCAAACTAATTCTATAGTATCAAGAGGTACCAGATTCTGATCACAAGCCTCAGAAGGAGCATGGGGAAAGCAATTAGCTAGAGATTTGGCCTGCAATTTAGCTGTCTTTTTATATCAGTAAACCAACTCATTTGCTGTCTTCTTTATAATGTTTGCAACACATTGGAAATGTGCAAATTGCAATCAGAAAATAGTCTTTTAGAAACCATGCACAAATATCTGACAAATTGTTTTGGCAAAACTGTACCTGCTGGAAGGACTGGGTGGATGACACTGTACTGCGAACAGTGACAAATCCAAATATTACAATAATGTTGGTGATAGAATTCATACCTCCTGCTCTAGAAAGCACAGGTTCAGCCACTTTCACTACAGGAGAATCTCCATTACCTCCTAGGAATATAGAGCTTATGATACACACTTGAGCAGTTTTGGCAGTGTATGATACACACTTGAGCAGTAGACTAGAGTTGTACACATTAGCTAGGCAGTTTTTACCATGTTACAATCTCTAATATGTAATAGATAAGAAAGGCAAATTATGTTTTCACATTATGATTAAGAATGTTTTGTTTAGAAGGTCTAATTTAACAATACTTACTGAAAGCTAGAGACTATGGAACACACAGCCATGACCCTATCCCTCCCAAATGGAACATTTATGCCAT